CTCTTTGGTTTAGGTCCATTGTAATTTTTATCATTGTAATTTTTATATTACGTGGCAGGACTGTTTCACTAAGACTTCGGGAGGGAGAGGAAGTACATGTATGGCCTCAGGCCATCATCTTGAGCCAGAAGTTTTAACAGTATTTACTGAGTGAATTTTACATCAGATCTTTCTAGGGTGGAATGCTAAATCCAAACACTACGAAAAGTACTGCAGGCCAGGTCTAGGCAGTACGGCACTGACATTATCTGGAAAGCCATGTGGGATTCCAAATACATCTTAGGCCTTGTGATACTGTCCCACACTCACTGAAGCTCTACACATTTTTTTTTCAGTCTTTTTTCTCTATGTCCTTCAGACTGGATAGTGCCTAACTGACTGATCTTTAAGTTCACAGACTCTTCTGCATCTCTACTTTGCAGTTTAAATGAATCAGTAAACTTTTTATTTAAATTTCTCCGTTCTAGGATACGTATCAGGTTCTTTTTTTACAGTTTTTATTTCTCTGCTGAGATTTGTTATTTATTCATTCATTACAAGCAGATTTTCCTCAACGTCCTGAGTAGTTACAACTGCTGCTTTAAAATCCTGTCTATGGAGTGTCTCAGTGGCTCAGTCAGTTAAATATCCAACTCTTGATTTCAGCTCAGGTCATGATCTCAGGGTCATGAGACTGAGCCCCACGTTGGGCTCCCTGCTCAGCGGAGAGTCTGTTTCAGATTCTTTCCCTCTGCCCCTCACCCCACTTGGGCACTTGGCACTCTTTCTCTCTCAAATAAATAAATCTTTAAAAAAATAATAAAAATTGGGGCGCCTGGGTGGCTCAGTCATTAAGCGTCTGCCTTCGGCTCAGGTCATGATCTCAGGGTCCTGGGATCGAGCCCCACATCGGGCTCCCTGCTCAGCAGGAAGCCTGCATCTCCCTCTCCCACTCTCCCTGCTTGTGTTCCCTCTCTCACTGTGTCTCTCGCTGTTAAAAAATAAATAAAATCTTTAAAAAAAAATTTAAAAAATAATAACAAAAATGAAAATAAATAAATAAATAAATTTCTGTCCACTAAATTCCGAAGTCAGGATCATTTTGGGGTAAGTGAGGAGTGACTACTAATGCAGTTTCTTTTTAGGGTGATGAAAAAATTCTAAAGTTGACTATGGTAATGGCTGCTTAAAATATTCCACAGAAGAAAATCTCAATTTTTCGGGGTGCCTAGCTGGCTCAGTCAGTGGGGTGTGCGACTCTTGATCTTGGGGTTTTGAGTTCAAGCCCCATGTTGGGTGTATAGATTACTTCAAAATAAAATCCTTTAAAAAAAAAAAAAGCTTTATTTATTTATTTGAGAGACAGAGAGACAGCACGAGTGGAGGGGCAGAGGGAGAGGGAGAGAAAACCTCAAGTGCACTCTGTGCTGAGCACAGAGCCCAAGGCAGGGCTCAATCCCAGGACCCTGAGATCATGACCTAAGCCGAAACCAAGAGTTGGACGCTCAACCAACTGCAGCACCCAGGTCCCCCCTTAAAAATAAATTTTTTTTTTAAAAAGAAAGTTCAATTTCTCAATTAACAGCAAGTCCCTTATTCTAAGTGCTGATTTAGCATCAATCCCAAGTGCTAGAATTTGCTAAGAAATAAATTAACTCCTATCAGACTAGAGAGATATAACAACTAGTTTCATGTAACACATGAAACTTGCTTGGATCCTGGTTCCTATAGAAAACTATAAGACATTCTGAGGACAGCAGAGAAAATGTGAATATGAGCTATTAGATGATACTAAGGAATTATGCCAAATTTTACTAGCTATGATTACGAGGAGAATATTTAGGAGTCACATACTGAAATATTACATGTCATGAGGTCTACAACTTACTGTCAGCTGATTCAGTTAAACACACACATACACACACAGAAGGTAAATATTGGAAAACATTAAGAGCATTAATAACTGTCAAATCTAGGCAGTGGGTGCTAACTATACCATGCTACCAATATTTCTGGATATTCGAACTTTTCATTCCAAAAAACTGGGGGGAGAAGCTACATGGCTAAAAAGAAATTTTATTCAGGATTTTCAGCCACTTAATAATTAAAATCCACATAATGTTAACATAATTTTATTTTGGCAATGATTTTTCATCCCAGGAATCCTTATCAGCTAACATTTTTCTACCTATTACCCCAGTTACCACAAGATGTCACTCTTCGCATGTTCAAATCAAAAGTCTTGCAAGGGAAAAGGTCATTATCAGTACTAAATGGAAAATGCACTCAACTTCCAAGTTAATCTGAAAAACTTTAGAACCTTTTATATTTAGGAAATAAAGTTAAATAAATCCTCTCAGTTCACAGACAATTAAATACAGACTAGATATAAATGTTAAACAAAGTTTTTTAAAATTTCGGATAAGAAAGCTTTATCTGCAGGACTATCACTATCTTCAAGGAAACAGTCCCACTGTCAGCTACTTTAGTAACCAAATGTCTCAGAATGTTCTAAATAACCCTGGGGTCAATCCAGAGAAATGGGACCAACTAGCCAGAGCTCAGAACTACAAGACATGTTTAGGACTCCTGCAGATAAGCCACTCTCTTGGAACTACTTCAAATCTCCCTGGGGTGCCCAGGTGGCTCAGTCAGTTAAGCCTCTGCCTTCAGTTCAGGTCATGATCCCAGGATCCTGGGATCGAGCCCCGCATCGGGCTCCCTACTCAGTGGGGAGCCTGCTTCTCCTTCTCCCTCTGCCTACAGCTCCCCGCTGTGTGCTCTTGCACACTCTCTCACTTTCTTTCTCTCTTTCTGTCAAATAAATAAATAAAATCTTTAAAAACAAAACAAAAAACCTCCCCACCTCTGCACCCACAGCACATGGGATCTGGCCCAACACTGTGTTTGCCTATTAATCCTCTGTCAAGGAATAACACACTGTCAGAGCCCAATGGAGCAGTATTATGAACGAAAAGATTTAAAAGCTTTAACTAACATACCAAAAAACGGTTATTCCCATTCTCCTTGTCCCCACCCCCAACCTGGGTATCATTAAAGTGTACTACAACTTAAAATTTATTAACATTTGAGGAATCTGGATGAAGAATACATAGGAATTTTTAAGAAGCATTATTTAGAAATAATTCCAAATTTATAAAAAGGTGCAAAAACTGGTACAAAAGCACCCATATACCACTTTCCTCAGATTTGCCTATGTTAACAGTTTACCGATCCGTTTACATCATTTGCTATCTTATATCCCTATTTATCTGTCTCTATCTATCTATCCCTGATGTTTTTCCTGAACTCTTTAAGGATATACATCATGGGGGCACCTGGGTGGCTCAGTCATTAAGTGTCTGCCTTTGGCTCAGGTCATGATCCCAGGGTCCTGGGATGGAGCCCCGCATCGGGCTCTCTGCTCGGCAGGAAGCCTGTTTCTCCCTCTCCCACTCCCCCTGCTTGTGGTCCCTTTCTCTCGCTGTCTAATAAGTAAATTAATTAAATCTTTAAAAAGGGGCGCCTGGGTGGCTCAGTCCGTTAAGCGGCTGCTTTCGGCTCAGGTCACGATCCTGGGGTCTTGGGATCGAGCCCCACATCTGGCTCCCTGCTCAGTGGAGAGCCTGTTTCTCCCTCTCCATCTGTCTGTCACTCTGCCTACTTGTGCTCTCTCTCTGTCAAATAAATACATAAAATCTTAAAAAAAAAAAAAGGATATACATCACGGCTCTTTACCCCTAACTATTCAGTGTGTGGTTCCTAAGTATAGAGACATTTACTTACATAAACACAGTATAGTTATCAACTTCATAAGCTTATACATGTTTATCTAGCATCTACTTTTTTTTTTAAGATTTTATTTACTTGAGAGAGAGAATGAGAGAGAGCACATGAGAGGGGGGAGGGTCAGAGGGAGAAGCAGACTCCCTGTCGAGCAGGGAGCCCAATGCGGGACTCGATCCTGGGACTCCGGGATCATGACCTGTGCCGAAGGCAGTCGCTTAACCAACTGAGCCACCCAGGCGGCCTCTAGCCTCTGCTTTTGACCAGTTTTGTCATAACATCCTTTATAGCATTTTCCCTACAGTACTAGACCCAGCCTAGGCAAAGGTATTACATTTAATTGTCATGTCTCCCTAGGCCACTTTAATCTGGAACTTTTCCAAAGGCTTTTAGGACATTGGCATTTTTGAGGAATACAGCACCTCTTGTGTTTTTAGTAAAACATACTTTATTTTTTGTCTATTTAATGTTCTTTATGATTAACTGAAGTTATGCCTCAGCCAGAATACGGCTTAGCTGATGCCGAGTCCGATTCTGTGTGCCTCTGTCACTTACACGATGACCCAAAGTGTTGCCCAAATTTTTCCACTGTATAATTTCTGGTTGTTTCTTTTTCCTCACTTGCAACATAATAAATAGTTTATGGGAAGCCATTTTAAAATCACCCGAATTTCTGCTCCTCATCAAATTGTCAACACAGAAATGCTTTGTACTATTTTTGTAACTTTTTTATAAGTCTGAAATAATTATCAAATAGTTTCAAAAAACTTGAAGCAACTTAAAATTGGAGTTTCAATTCTACCAGATCATAAAATCTCCTTGGCAGGGAGGAAAATCAGACAACAAATAAATACCTGTGCCTTAGACATAAGATTATGAAGGATCGATTTGTCTCAGTATACTTGCAATCACTAAAAGTAAACAATAAATGGCTTTTCCTAAGACCTAGAAATAACAATCAGCTTTTCCTTCAAACGATTTTCTATAACTAAGCACAGTTTTAAAGCAATGCTTCCACTTAACAGTCCTTCCTTAGGACCAAAACATAGCAGTCCACAGACGACTGCCTACTGTGTGAAACCTGCCTGGCCAGATGCATATTTCTCCTAGGTGCTGTCTACTGCACCAGCAACACTGCACAGTCAGAGTGTTCCATTCCGCTACTGAATGCAAACTATCCCCACTCGTTGAGATGGGAAGGACAAAAAGGAATGAAAAGGTCCCCCATCACTTACTCTCTAAATCAGAAATAATGAGGTTGTCATGAAGTTTCACGGCTCGGTGTTGTTCTACTTCATCTTCAAGTTCAAAGATGGTTTCTTTCATGTCGCTCCTCTCTGTCTCTTTTTCTTCTAGCTCCGATCTTAGTTTCTCTAATGTCATATTCAATTCTTCTATTTGTTTCTTAGCTTCTTCTTGGAAGGCTCGGTATTCATCTTCTACCTATACAGAATTGATGGTGCGGATTAGAAAAGTGAGAGCTGCTCTAATAAAAATTCCAGAATGGAAGTATACATTGTTCCAAAGGAAGCTGAGCGTGAATTGCTAGGTATGAACTAAAACCACCTGTGTAAAAACTGTCTGAAAGTATGAAAAAGCACTCTACAATAATATAGGATTTTAAGTAACATGCTTAAGCATAATTTGTTGCTGTATCATTGACAATTATATTGACATATCACTGAACTTAACTAGATTATGAGGAAATTTTGGAATTTCTTCCTTCTCCAAAGTTTGGACAGAAGGCATGCATCTGATTAATAACATCCTCTCCCACCCAAAAAAAAAAAAAAAATCTCTGATGTGTGACAGTTTCATTACCAAAATAAAAATGGAAACAAATTCTCAAATACTGTCACTGCAGAAGTATCAGCTCAAAGTGCCCTCCAACACATATGCTCCAACAAATAATACATTCCCTAAATTGTATCTCTAAACATCATCACTAAAATAATTAAGATCTAAATTATCTGAATTTTGGCCAAAGATATACTAATGTTTCTTACTTTAAAAATTACTGCACTAAAATAAGAAATAAAATGTTAAGATAGAATCATTGGATAACTCATGCAAATAAACCCTACATCAGCAATCACATGGGGCACAGACCCATGGCCGGAGTGCCAGGAACCCCAGCTGTAGTTCTGCATGAGTCCTCATTATTGTGGTAGATGTAAAACAAGGGGGCCGGACCCATGGTCGCTAAGGTCCTCGCCAGCAACAAGACAGCCCTCTAACAAACAGGAGCCTCCATGCTCCAAAAATATTTTTTAACTCAAAACAGAACTCTATTTGAAAAACTACAACCACAGGAAAAGGGGGAGACATTGCTGATCCCACAGACATGTCTACTGGCTCTCATCTTTCCTATGCCAAAATGCATTAGAGATGAGGAGGTAAAACTGCACAATATGACCCCCCCTGGGCGCACCCAGATTAGAGACAAATTCTGTTGTTGTCATTCTAGTCCCTTCCTCTCACAGGCAGGAAAACAGTAACAAAACTCAAGTGAGTGGAAATGACATTATTTTAAGAATACTTTTGACTATATCCCAATAAAGAAAACCATTCTCAAGCTTTAAAACAAAATCAGCCTTAAAAAAGTGAATGACAGGGGTGCCTGGGTGGCTCAGTCGTTAAGTGTCTGCCTTCGGCTCAGGTCATGATCCCAGGGCCCTGGGATCGAGCCCCGCATCGGGCTCCCTGCTCGGCAGGAAGCCTGCTTCTCCCTCTCCCACTCCCCCTGCTTGTGTTCCCTCTCTCGCTGTCTCTCTGTCAAATGAATAAAAATAAAAATAAAATAAAGTAAGTGAATGACACATCACACAAGTGATACTGGCTTTCAGTAAGTATGGTGTGTACTGCAGCTGCATAATACTGCTCCAGAACATTTTATCTACTTGAGCAGTACCTTTGCAATGGTGTCCTGCAATCGATTGACATCATTTCGGGTGTGAGCTAGGTCTTCCTGCAGGCTACTAGCCAGAGTCTCTGCTTTTTCTTTGTCCAGCCTGACACTCTCCAGGAGATCCTGAATATCAGATTTGTCTCCAGAGTTATGGATGGAATACAGCTCCGCCACTTTCTGCTTTTCATTCTCCAGCTGAGCCTTCAGGCGGTTCATCTCTATCTGATCACTGGCCACTGTGGCTTTGTACTCCTCTAATGTGGCTGCCAAGGCTGCTTTACCCTTCTGCTCAGACTCAATAATTCGCTCCATATGGTGATTGCGTTCTTTGAGCGCCCCTATCATTTCTTGAGCTTCCTTGTTGTCTTGCTCTGCCATCTTCAAAGTATTGCTTAAATGCTGCTGGACACCGAGAAGCTGCTCTCGTTCAAAACGGGCATTTTCTGCTAGGTCCATATAACGTTGCTCCAATTCCATATAGCGTCCGCTTTTCACATCCTCGTCTATGACATAAGAAATGTGATGCTCATCGAGAAGGGAGCGGAAATATTCAATCTGTCGGCTAAAGTGTTCCAACTTATCACTCTGCTGACATAAAGACTCCATAAGAATAACCTTCTCTTCCCCCAGCCTTTCATTTTCACTGTTCAGTTCCTGGGTTATCTGCTGTAAATCAGCTAGCTCTTGCAGAGTCGCCTGAAGTTCCTCACTTGTGCTGTGTTGGTTCTCTTCCATCTGATGTATCCGTTCTGTCAAGCAAGCAACGGACACTTCACTCGCGTTGCCACTGCTCCCCTTCCGGGAGCGCTCTATGCTCGGAACGCCTTCGGACTCTGAGGACGATGGTGCGTCCAGGGCATCATCGCTCGACGTGAGGGGCTGGTACACCTCACTGCACTCACTGTCTAGGTTGTCCATAGAGTTACTGTGCTGATGGTCCATGAGAGTGTTTTCATCCTGGCTCAAGAGATCCTCCACAGAACCAGGGGCAGAGCCTTCCACCGAAGAGGTCAGGGTACCTCCTCCATCACTCTGGTTGCCAGGGGTGATTTCTGGGCTCAGGGACTGATAACCAAACAGTTTTTCGGAATTGTCTAACCTCTGCTCTAGAGAAAAGCCCAGCGCGTTCAACCTGTCCTTTAACATTCTGTTTTCGTTTTTTAGCTGGTTGAGTTCTTCCCGGATGGCAGTATTCTGTTCCTGCAACTGCAGTAAAGTGGACTCGACGTCAGTTGGCTGGTGAGCAATGATGGCTTCCTTCTCCTCAGATTTTTCATCACCCTCGGAATGATCCTCATTAATGCCCAGCTGAGCACGCATGTCTCGGAGTTCATTTCTCAAATGTAAGATTTCCACATCCTTGGTTTTTGCCAATGTGAGAAGATCTTTCACTTTGGCTTCCAAAGCAGCTTTGTCACTGATCTGATTGTCTGACTTAGACTTGCTCATGCGAACGTCACATTCTGTAGCCGTGCGGCTGCGGGAACGCTTGGCCAATGCCACGTCATTAGCTCCCTGACCCGCAGAAGGTAGTTTTTTGCTCTGGCTTAGTCGGGTACGTTCACGTAATCTTTCTCTAGTAGAACCGGATTCTTTATTACCTATGGAAGTGCTCCGCTTGGATGAACTTGTGCCTAAGTGTTTAAAACAAAGAATGGAAGGCAAAAATATTAGCAAGAAAAGGCACAGAGGTTATGCCCGAGGTCTGATCAGATGAGATCTAGAGACCTACACATTGATTCTGACCGACATTAACCTTGCCTTAGATTCTGGTTACTGTAAAATTCCGTTTCCTCAAAACCAGATCATTCATCTTTTAATTATTAATGAAAAAGAAGTTATACACTGAATTGTATACTTTAAAAGGGTGAATTTTACAAAATGTGAATTATATCTCAATAAATCTATTACATAAAAAAAGTTGCACATTAACTTGAATCCTAAACCATGGCTTTAAACAAAAGTCCAAGGGCATAATATTCTAGGGCAAGCTAGATAAAGCGGACTCTAGGATTAACCAGTCAGGTAGCAAACTAACCGTAGAAGCAGATGGTAAAGAAAGATCACAGATGAGCAAGAAGGGAAAGGCGGCTTCCGGACAAACAAAAAATCTAAGCTACCTATGATGAACACAAAGTATGATCAAAGTAAGTGCAAAAAGTTTTTCACATCATAGCATGCCACATAAATAGTACCAATAACATTAATTATAATAAGGCTAATGTGTACTTAGCACTTGCTTTACACACACACAGATGAACACTTCACATACATTAATTTATACAAGCCTCATTATTATCAACATGAAGAAACTCACACACACAGATGCTAAATAATCTGCCAACACCCCACATGTAATAAGTGGATGAGCCAAAATTCAAATGCAGGCAAACAGTCTGGCTCCAGAATCTGAAACTTAAAAAGTATGTTATGCTGCCTCCCTAAATGTTAGAAAACAATAATGTACTAATGCTAACTAATGATGGCACATTATCAAATATGCTACATGAATCAGTATTACCTGACTGCTAAAATTCTAAACCTGTGAAAACTGACATGATCGTGTGTTTAATACAGAAAGAACAGGAATATGGTTACCTATAAATACTTAAGAAATAATTAGCTGCTTTTTACTTTGTAAAATAAGATCTAGACCTAATCAGTAAGTGTTCTATAAGAACCTGATAGTTTTTTACGTGGCAGGCACCAGGCTGCTGAGGTAAGAGGGAGAGAAAAGTCGATGTGATATAGGAAGACAGCCAGTAATTCTGCCAGGGATCAGGTGTAGAGCAGGGGAGGGAATTCTGGCTGGCCACAGGATAGGATGAGGAAGCAGAAGAGAACAGGACGCACAGCAAGGAAAAAGTAAGGTCACACAATGAATGGAAGCAGCAAGGGAAGTTTTTATGGGGCCCTGAACGCCAAGGGAAATTTAGTGAGTCCCACTAAATGAGTCCCTGTAAATGTTCAATAAATGTTCTGGAGCAAGAAAGGCAGAGAACAGCATTTTTATGAAAATGAATCCAGACGATGCTAAGTGAAACATCTGAGGAAGAAGAGCGGTCAAGGAGGAAGGTGGGCAGGAAGAGCAGTAAAAGTGAAGGAGGGCCTACACTGGGGAGTGAGATCAGGATCTCTGCAAGAACAGAGAAGGGATGATACATCTGTAACAGATTTACAGGGTAAAAGTAACAAGATGAGGAGAAACAATTGCAAATGGAGGCGAAAAAAGGAAAAGGGTGGTATAACCAAAGTATTCATTCTCTCCATTTCTGTAGACAGTACCAATCATCCTTCTTTCCCAAACCAAAACCCGTCCTAAGAAGGAAAAGATCTGGGCATTCCTGAAAGACAAAAGGAAAGGAGACAGTAATGAGGGGAGGGATTGATAATGCCCCAAAAGGAAAGGAGAGGTAAAGGAACGAGAAAGGAAGAGAGAAAATATGACAAAGAAAAGCTCCCCTTCGGGATTATTGTGCCCAGTGAGTAGATGGAAGAATCTGAGTTATAGACAAGTGAAATGGTCTTAGAGAAGTCACGGGGAGTAAATAAAGGTAGAGCAGATCAACTGAAGAGTTGAGGACGTTGTTAGGGGCTCAATTGTGTCCTCAATTCATATGTTGAAGCCATAACCCCCAGTACCTCAGAACTGACTCTACTTGGGAAAAGAGTTATAATTAACGTAAAGAGGTACTTATATTAACATGGGGTTTGTTACGGTGGGCCCTAATCCAAAGATACCATAAAGACTGTTATCTGTAAGAAGAGGAGACCGGGACACAGACACAGAGAGAGGGATGACCATGTGAGGAGACAATGAGAAGACAGCCAACTACAAGCCAAGGAGAGAGGTCTCAGAATAAATCAAACTGGCCGACACCTTGATCTCAGACTTCTAGCCAGTTTTGGTGAAATTACATGTCTGTTATTTATGCCACCCAGTCTGTATAATTTGTTATGGGTGCCTTAACAAACTAATACAGATGTACAAAGTAGAGGCAATGGATCCAGGGAGGAGATAACTGAATTCAGCTGGAGGGCAGGTGGTACTGGTCAGTAGGGAACCAGGGTACAAATGCGAGGGAACTCTCCCAATAAATTCTAAAAGCTGGAAATAAGAAGAGATATAGATGGTATGAGAGTACTTAATTTCCTTCTTACAACACAGGCTGCAGTGTTAAGTGTGGTGATGACCTCAGGCTTGAGCATAAAAGACCTAAGGTGCAGTCCTTGCTCCACCACCAGCTTTGAAGCCTGGTACAACGTGGTACGGTACCCAATAAATATTTTCTGAGTAAATGAATACAAGGCCTTAGGCAAGATACTTAAGCTTTAAGCATAGCTCTCACATCTCTAAAATGAGGATAATAACAGCCTCTACCTCATATGGCTATAGTGAGGATAAAATGGAATGGTGCCTGGTATAACAGTGCCTTCCTCATGATCATACCACATGACTATTATAACTAACAAGGGGCGTGATCTGGGATAGGGAAGACAGTAGGTAAACCTGGGCTACGAAAAAGTCTAATACATACATGAGGGGCTAAAGGCCTAAATAATGATGATAAAGAAGGTCTGCTATAGGGGCGCCTGGGTGGCTCAGTTGGTTAAGCGACTGCCTTCGGCTCAGGTCATGATCCTGGAGTCCCGGGATCGAGTCCCGCATCGGGCTCCCTGCTCAGCAGGGAGTCTGCTTCTCCCTCTGACCCTCCTCCCTCTCATGCTCTCTGTCTCTCATTCTCTCTCTCTCAAATAAATAAAAATAAAATCTTTAAAAAAAAAAAAAAAAAAAGAAGGTCTGCTATAGTTTTTGCCAATGTGCTTTCATCAGCTGTATTACAAACAAATGATCTTGGGGCACCTGGCTGTCTTGGTCGGTGGAGCACACGACTCTTGATGTCGGGGTTGTGAGTTCGAGCCCCACGTTGGGCGTACAAATTACTTAAAAATAAAATCTTTTAAAAAATAAATAAATAATAAAAATAAATAAATAAAAACACACGATCTTATGTTTACCGAAGTTTTAAGTTTTTTCTATAAGCGTAAGAAGTAAAATATGACAGCATTACTCCTTGGACTACAGGTTGAGTTCATTTACAGACTCCATCAAATCTAAAGCCAAATTGCTGCTAATGAAGAGAGAATGGTAGAACAGGAATGAATGGATCCAGGCATTGATCACCAAAGGCTGCTAACATCTTGGAAAGACAAACAACCAGAAATGATGTGCCTACTGGTGGATGGACAACTATTATGTATGAAGGAGTCTTGGGGGAAAAAAAGGAACCTGAATCTGTCCCATCAAGGCTCTAGATCCAATGACATTAATAGTAAATGAACAAAGGAATATGGTCAAGGACATCAAGGAGATGTGACGTCAAAATCCAGATCACGGGAAAATAGAGGTCAAACATCCTATATTTCTAGAAAAATTAAATTGTAAGAAAAAAATAGATTTAAGGAAGAGTAACAATTTATAAATGGACTGTAACTGAATCCTGATCCAGAGACAGTAAATATACATATGCAGTATTTATGAAAAAGTTGGAAATTTGAGGGTGCCTGGGTGGCTCAATTGGTTAAGCAACTGCCTTCGGCTCAGGTTATGAGCCTAGAGTCCCAGGATCGAGTCCCGCATCGGGCTCCCTGCTCAGCGGGGAGTCTGCTTCTCCCTCTGACCGCCCCCCCCCTCATTCTCTCTCTCTCAAATAAATAAAATCTTTAAAAAAAAAAGAAAAGAAAAAGTTGGGAATTTGAATAAGTATTTCTTTATATTTATATTTATGATTTGAGGAATTACTATTAATTATTTTAAGGGCTGATAATGGTATTGTTTAATATTTTTAGGGGAATCCTTATCTTTCAAAGATAATTACATATTTGCTCATGAAATTATAGGACACTTGGAATTTGCTTCAAAATAATGAGGAGGGAAGGTGGATGTTAAGGAATTAAGACCGGCCATTGGTTGACAAGGGTGAGGAGTACATGGGGTTGAAATACAAATACTTTTGTACATCGAACATTTTCTGTAAGTAACAGAACCCCTTAAATACCACCGCACTCTGCTATTTAAACAAAAAAGCAGTTTTACTCTGAATGCCACCCATACCTGTGCTGATCTTGGATTTGTTCTCCACGGTGGTCATGGCAGGGGCCGATGCTGAAGATGCTGTGGAAGGGCAGGTGCTTTTCTTTCCTTTAACACCATTAGTCACTGTCACCCCTCCAGCCATTCCAGCTAAGAGGTCATCACTGCTCTTGGTCTAGAAGCAACAGAAGATAAAAGCATACTGATTAGATGAAGCAAGAGTAAATAATATTTTGGGACTAAACAAAGCTCTTGGCTTTTACAGTGAATTCAAGATCAAGAGCTCTACAAAGATTTTCTGACAGTTACCAAGCAGTACTTCATACTGCGCTACAGAAAGAGAACCTCTTCACTGGTTTATAAACAATCACACACTTCTTTTTAAAATACAAAAATCACATATGTAATCAAAGACTTTATGGAAGCCTACTGTGTGCCCACATGTGCCAGAGTCAGTGAGGGTTAGGAAAAAGTGAAGACATCCTTTTAGTTACTCTTTCACCTAGGACATGACTTATGAACAGGGATCATCTGAGTGCTGTCACATGGGCTCTGAGGAAAGTTCTATAATGCCACAGGAAGTGCCATCCTGCAATTTCTAGAGGGAAATACCACTAAGAATCAGAAATAATCTTTATTGCTTTAAAGTAAATCAGTGATGGAACCATTACTTTGAAATTTATTTTTCTTGAACCTGACCTAATTTTTAGTAGTCTAATTTAAGCCAAAATTGAAAGATTTTTTTTCTTAAAGCTTAGGTAATATATAAAATCCAGACAGTTTACGGTTAGAGTGAGGGTTAGTCAGCCTAAATGATCATACTCCTTGAGAAAGACCCTTTGGAATACTTATTTATATTTTCCAAAGACTGAAAAAAATACAAGCTTTTAAAAAAGAAAACAAGCATCAGCTATACTTCAATTAAAAAAAAGAAGAAAACAAGCACTCTGGATGAGATCGGGTATAAAATTATTACTTAAAGAAAAGATAGTGAAGAAACCTGTTTTTACTTCTAGGAATGGAAGAACAGAGGAGTTAAAAATCTGTGAAAAAAAGAAAAACTACTTTTTCAAAATCAATTAGTTCATTTGAGAGAGACAGCACAAGTGGAAGGGGCAGAGGAAGACAGAGAGAGAATCTCAAGCAAACTCCACATTGAGATACCACAACCCTGAGTCCAAGGATGCCTGGGTGGCTCAGTCGGTTAAGCGTCTGCCGTCAACTCAGGTCATGATCCCAAGGATCAAGTCCTGCATTGGGCTCCTTGCTCAGTGGGGAGGCTGTTTCTCCCTCTGCCTGCTTTGCCTGCCACTCCCCCTGCTGTGCTCTCTCTCTCTCTCTCCCCCTAACAAATAAATAAATAAAATCTTAAAAAAAAAAAAAAAAAAAAAGACCTACTGTTGGTGGAAATGCAAGCTGGTGCAGCCACTCTGGAAAACAGTATGGAGGTTCCTCAAAAAGGTGAAAATAGAGCTACCATATAATCCAGCAATTGCACTACTGGGTATTTACCCCAAAGATACAAACGTAGGGATCCGAAGGGGTACGTGCACCCCGATGTTTATAGCAGCAATATCCACAATAGCCAAACTGTGGAAAGAGCCAAGATGTCCATCGGCAGATGAATGGATAAAGAAGATGTGGTATATATATATATATATATATATATACAATGGAATATTATGCAGCCATCAAAAGGAATGAGATCTTGCCATTTGCAACGACGTGGATGGAACTGGAGGGTATTACGCTGAGCGAAATAAGTCAAAAAGAGAAAGACATGTATCATATGACCTCACTGATACGAGGAATTCTTAATCTCAGGAAACAAACTGAGGGTTGCTGGAGTGGGGGGTGGGGTGGGAGGGATGGGGTGACTGGGTGATAGACACTGGGGAGGGTATGTGCTCTGGTAAGCACTGTGAATTGTGCAAGACTGTTGAATCTCAGATTTGTACCTCTGAAACAAATAATGCAATATATGTTAAGAAAAAAAAAAAAAGAAGATAGCAGGAGGGGAAGAATGAAGGGGGGGAAATCGGAGGGGGAGACGAACCATGAGAGACGATGGACTCTGAAAAACAAACTGAGGGTTCTAGAGGGGAGGGGGGTGGGAGGATGGGTTAGCCTGGTGATGGGTATTAAAGAGGGCACGTTCTGGGGCGCCTGGGTGGCTCAGTTGGTTAAGCAACTGCCTTCGGCTCGGGTCATGATCCTGGAGTCCCGGGATCGAGTCCCGCATCGGGCTCCCTGCTCGGCAGGGAGTCTGCTTTTCCCTCTGATCCTACCCCTCTCATGCTCTCTGTCTCCCATTCTCTCTCTCAGATAAATAAATAAAAAATCTTTAAAAAAAAAAAAAAAAGAAAGAGGGCACGTTCTGCATGGAGCACTGGGTGTGTGATGCACAAACAATGAATCATGGAACACTACATCTAAAACTAATGATGTAATGTATGGTGATTAACGTAACAACAAAAAAATTTAAAAAAAAGATGTATAGTACAACAGAAGTTGGGGGGACTATGGCTATTGTGCAGAAAATATAAGCCTTTATTTTCATTTGATAAAAAAAAAAAAAAGACCTAAGCTGAAACCAAGAGTCCGGACACTCAACTGACTAAGCCACCCAGGCACCCCAAGAAAAACTACTTTTTAATAAAAAAGAACCAAAAAGTTTTGTCCCATTAGGGTGAAAGCATAAGTTAGCCAACTGATTTACTATTGTTGTCTATCTGGAGTCATGTAACCATAATAAATTCTTAAGCAATCATAACAAATTCATCTCTACAGATTAAAATGCTTCATAAATTACTAATCTCTAAAGTCTCTTCCTGTTCTGTTAGTAGAATAGATTCTGTTCTCATCATTCAATTATAAAAGTTACAATATAATACCATTTGCTAGGTCAATCTGTCTTACTAGAGGTAGAAAAGATTAATGTTTTAAATGAATTAAACTAATTAAGCTTTGGTAATTTAGGATTGTCACATTATGAAAAACCTAGTTATATAATGAGGAAGGAGGAACCTGCATTAATCATTAAGGATTGTTCATATTCTTTAAGACTAGTTCCTGTTTATAAAATTGGTCATCAACTATGATGCAAAAAATCTGTAAGTCAAATTCTACTTCCTTCCTGTCAATTTGTCCCTCATCAATTAATCAGTATATAAACTCAACATACCCTTATATTTTCAAATAACCTTTTATATTCCATTAATAGAAGTTAGAATTATCTTTGAGGTAATTTTTCTTCCTTCATAAGTTAAATGATAGTAGCGTACTGGCACATGAATAAATAATGGAATAGAAAAGAATCCAAAAAGAAACTGCATATAAAGACACCTGATTCATGACCAAAGAAGCAGTACAGAAAAAAATTGGTTTTTCAATAAATGATACTAGGTCAACTGCATATTCACAAAAGAAAAAAAATGAATGAGCCCTATTTCACACCATATCAAAAATAAATTCCAAGGCTTTCTAACTATGATTCAAAATCCTGAATGATGCAACAAAGAATTGATAAACTTGACTACATTAAAATTAAAATCTTAAAGAATTTTAAAAATCCTGTGCATGATACAAAAATGAGAAACTGGGAGAGTATATTTGCAATTTCTCACAAATAAATGGCTAATATCCTTAATACACAAAGAACTCTTAGAAATCAATGGGTAAGAGACACATAGAAAAGTGAGCAAAATAAACAATCACCTACAGTCGATCCCCACACAATACAAAAATTATAACCAGAATAACTCACAATAGGAGAAATGCAAATTAAACAACACTGAGATACCACATCTCACCTATCAGACTGGCAAAAATGAAAAGTTATGATACATTCCTTTGTGAAGGATGTGCGGAAACAGGCGCTCTTATAAGCTGCTGGTGAGAACGCAGCTGGATGTGGCCTTATGAAAGGCATCCAGCAATGTCTACACTTACTTTGTTCCCAGCAACCCACCTCTAGGAATTTCACCTGAAGACATACCCCCAATAATACAAAAATACATACACTTAAGGCTACTCAATGCAGTACTGCCTTTTAAAAAAGATTTTGTTTATTTATTTGAGAGAAAGAGAGAGCACAAGCAGGGGGGAGAGGTAGAAGGAGAGGGAGAAGCAGACTCCCCGCTGAGCAGGGAGCCCAACTCGGGGCTCGATCCCAGGACCCTGGGATCATGACCTGAGCTGAAGGCAGACACTTAACCAAGTGAGCCACCCAAGCGCCTCTGCAGCATTGTCTTTAACTGCAAAATACTGGAAACACCTTGAATGCCCATACCAGGACAGTAGCTCAATAAACTATAGTATATCTGTACAAAGACACATTAAAGAGAATGAGAAAGACTGCTATAAATTGGTGTAAAGAGATTTCTAGAATACATTAAATGAAAAAAAGCAAAGTGCAGAAACAGATCTAATTATGGCAACTTCTGTGTAACAAAGGGGAAATAACACAATAAATATACATGTATCTGATCATTTATGCAAAAAGAAACACAGGAAGGAGAAAAACAAAAACCCAACTAGACTGTTTACCTCCTAGGGATGGCTGGGGACAGAAGGAATGGGGTAGGGGAGGGGCACTTCTCTGAATACATCATCTCCTAATTCTGACATGTGGAACTGAACCTTAGTAGTGTTTCACATCCTCGCAGTCAATTAATTAATTAAACAAGGGTAGGGGAAACCCTAAAATGGAACACAATAGGAACAAATGGACCCAACTGCATTTCAAATAAGTAACACAGTCACCCAGGGTGGAGGGTAGGGGAAGAATCCAAGTATCTTCTGAAAACAGTATTTTGACTATAAATCCTCAAACTCTCAAGCTAAAGACCAAAAAAAGTATACACTTTGAACTCTACCTGGCAGATTTGTTTTTGGCAGTGGTACGATGAGCAATTCTGTAACTACTGCCTACATATTCTAGGATTGAGAAAATAAATATATTATAATGAAAGCCAGGTTTCTCACTGTCGGGAGACTGGGATTACAATTACAGAGAGTGAAAAGGCTACTCTAAATACTGTCAAGTGGATTTGGAAGTAACCGTGTGAACTCATAAGGTTTTAATATATATGGAGGGAAAAAGACACAGAAATTGATAAAGATATGTAAGTGCACACATGTGTGTGTTTCCTCTCTGCTGAGCAGGCTTAAAAA